GTGAGGGACCCAAGCCAGAGGCTGTTACGTGTCTGCTGGTTATCCCCACAGCGGATTAACATCCCTGTGAGCCGACGGGTCGTTCGGCCATCGGTTTATCAATCTGCCACAACCCAGAGCTCCAGCTGACGGCCTGCGGGCAGCCCTGTGTGAGCCGCAGGCGACAGAGGGAGAGCTTTCCAGGCCTCTGCCGCACCACGTGGCTGCATGGATTTGCTGGCCCAGGATAATCCCTGAGGCTGGTTGCAGTAATGAGAACTCGAGCTGCTCCTGTTTGTGGGAGGGGTGGGGGGCACCTTGATCTTTCCTGCAAGCCAGAAGCAATCCCAGCCCTTGCCTGCACAGACTGCTCTGCATGTTTATCTGTGTTCTCAATTTTCAGAAGTCTGTTTGACCCTCTTTCCTCAGCATGCTGGGCATTTGTTGAAATTTACAGCCCCCTTATACTGAAGTAGTTTAAAACACCCAGCAGTGCAGAAGCCTGCCATACAGAAGAGATGTCTGGTATTTTGGTGGCACTTTTATTATCCTTGAAATACACTGTGTGCAAGCCTTTTTGATGAGCTTCTGTGTTGGATCCAACGGGCTGTGTCTCCAAGCTCCAAGATAGCAGTGTGTTAGAGTCTCACAGTCTCAGAGTGACACTTTGTGTTGTTTAGTACATAATGTCAGTATGTCAAGGTAGCATTTTTTTTTTAATATGACAAAACTGTAAGTAGTTGTCCAAATTGGATCCGCTTTCCTTTCAGAGCTGAAATTGTCCCTCAGGGCAGGTTTGCGATTCACTGTTGGTTATAATTCAGTGTTTAAATTTCCAATTTAATTTATATTTTAGAGCTATAAACCTTATTAATAAAACACATCCTGTGAGACAATAGTTTTGAAAATTGTTTGTACTTTTTCGTCATTGCTTTATGGTCAGATCATTTCCATACTGATTCTTTGTGCACTTGAAGAGATAATGAGAACTTCAGTGTGTATGCTTCTTTTGAACATGAACCAAATTGTTATAGGTTTTTTGCATCACTATAATAACATATATCCCCGTTATAATGCCTTGTTTAACTCTGCCTTGGGATGTGTCTTGTCATTTAAGATCAAGCTGTCATACAAAACAACTCATGTCATGTGGTGCACATTGAAGAATGCAACCATATAGTAGCTGTAAAAGAACATCTGGCCACAATTTGAGTGCAATAAACCACCCATGGTATTAACCCAAATCCTCTTGCTTGAAGAACCATCAAAACAGTGGTTTCCAGTGCAACTTCCTGTTGAAAACAAATACATAAAATAAACATTTATAACAGTGGCAGATATCTTAGCTGTTTTAAATGTGGTCCAATGTACTCTAATCCTAAATACATTACAAAACCATTGTGTTTAACAATCTGATAGTAATTATCCCTATTCATAAACTTTGCACTGTATAATGTTAATTTAAAATAATTTTTGACTGCTTAAAAATGGATTGTAAAACTGCTTGGTGCTAACTTGGAATAGAGAGAATTTCAAAACGCAGAGATGAATTCTGAGTTCACTAGTTTCGTGTCTTGGGATTTAGCTTGCTTCTCTTACTTCTCATGCTTGGACAAAATATTATGCAGTTTTACATAGTTTATGCAGTTTTCATAAATACATTGCTCAGAGTTTCAAGGATACAAGGTCATTTTGCAAAGTTAATTGCTGTAGCTGCTCTGCATTGTTTTGGAGCACTCAGAAGCTGGAGTTCTAGCCTTGCATTCCATAATAAGAATTGGAAAAAGTCCCCTGAGGCAGACACACAGCCATCGTCATCCCAATTCCATGAGTTTGCAAAATGCCCACTTCTAAGGGCAATAACTCTGGTTCTGGTAAAAATACCATGCTTATTTCAGTCGTGGTTTGTTCTGTGGCTCCTCTGATCTAAAGTTTTTTTTCGGCTTCAAAGTGAGTGGTTTTTGGCATAGTCTGTAACGTATGTCAACAATTGTATTTGAATTTAGGTCACTGGGCACATGAGAACAGTGAGCATATTTGATAGGTTTACTGCAGTAAGGACCATCTGAACTGTAAATCTTTATTCTGCAATATGTATACTTTATGAAAGTGTGCTTGGGGCACCAGTGTCTAATTTAATTGTTTTGTTTTGCCATTTCTAGTTTCCCTATACAGCTCCTCCTCCTCAGGAGCCAGTGAAGACCCTCCGGAGCCTTGTGAACATTCGCAAGGACACGCTGAGACTTGTCCGGTAGGTCCAATGAACTGTTTCCCCTGACTGAGGAGATCCCAGAAGGTTTTCTACAAGTATATTCCTAGTAATAGTTTACCATGGTAAATTCTGGATTTGAACTGTGACCTTTCTTGTGACATGCTGGTTTTTCTTCTGTGCTCCCCCATCTTTTCCAGGCCTTCAGTGTAACTTCCTTGACAAGACCCTTGTATGCCATATTGAAATCTAATAAGGGGTTTTCAGTGTTGCCCTTTTCAGAATTAATTCATGGCTAATCGTGGTACACCGTGACAATGACAGAGAGAAATTACCAGGTGCTGTATGTTTCCCCTGGTGGAGGTGTGCGAGGGCTTTAACGCAAGTTTCTGTGGTCGTGCAGGTGTAGCGAGGATGTGAAGACGCCCAGGGACGAGGTGGGCACCAAAGGCAGAGCCTGCTACAACGTGGAGTTCACCTTTGACGCCGACACTCAGGTCGCCATCACTATCTTCTACCAGGCCAGCGAGGAATTCCACAATGGCGTGCCAGTGTAAGGAAATGTCCCAGAGACGGGGTCTGGGCAGCTTTCAGAGCTGTGCGCTGTGGTGCAAAACTTGCCTGCTGTTTTTTTACTTAAAAGAAGCTCTAGTTCAAGAATGAAAAGCTCCAGTCCTCAAGAGCTGCAGAATCCATCCTATAATTCTGGCTTTAATTCCATGTCTGATTTTAATTACCTAATTATTTAGGTAAGAAGTCAAATCTCCTGTTTTTTAGGTCTTAACCAGTAGCTTATTGTAGGAGTGTGTAAAGTTTGCAAGACAGTAGACATCCCTACTCAAGGTAATATCTAGTATTACTACATTTAACCCATTAATGCCTGCTTTTGTGTATTTGACATTTTATTTTAATTTCATGTTGACATGGTGGAGCAAACAGGTTAATGTAATTCTGTAGCACACTGGGGTGTTTGGGGATGTGTTAGCTGATGTCAAGGTGAGTGTGCGATGCAGGAGCCTTGGTGATGACCTTAGCACTCGATCCTCTTGCTGGTTCCTCAGCTCCGGAAGAGTTGTCACAGTGCCGGGGTGTGGTCACGGTGGAGTTATTGACTAGGCGTTTGGATTTCCGCAGGTACATCCCTCAGGACAACTCCCTGCAGTCGGAAACGGTGCATTTCAAGAGAGGGGTCTGCCAGCAGTTCTGCTTGCCATCGCACTCCATCAATCTCTCAGAGTGGAGCGATGATGAGGTAGCTGGGATGAGAGATTACTGATGGAAAATGATAAAAATAGACGGCTCATGTTGGTGATTTTCATTTCACTTGTTTATATGTTGCTGTGGACTGGCACCTTATCGTAATCCTCATCTAGTCTCAGCCAGTGGCCTGGAAGTGCTTTAAATGTACAGTTTAAGTGCTATAAACATAAAAAGGTTTAATAAAAAAGTGTCATATTTCATGGTTTTAAATGCTATTGCAAAATTAATCCAATTTGTGATGTTTGTTATTATAGTAAACATAATATCAAAGTAGCATACATCATTCATGCTGTAGGTGTTATGTCTCAGACACTCTTGATATGTCAGTTTTAGCAGGGTTCTCAGATCTTTTCTAGCTTTTAATAAATCTCTTGAAATCATCACCTGCTTCAGGTGTAGGTAAAAAGTGAAATTACTTTAAATAAGTATAAGGATCAATGAAAAACAGTAGATCAGACATTCCTTGAAACTGCAGTTAGACCCTGGCTCTCAGCTAGACAGCTCTTTAGGCCCAACTCAGACTGGTCCAATGCTGTAATCCCACCCCTGAGACTTCATGAGGATGTGTGTCTGCCTCCCTGCAGCTGGTTTTTGACATGGATAAGGATATCTACCCCATGGTTGTGCAGGCTGTGGTAGATGAAGGAGAAGGTAAGCCATCCCTTTTCCGAGTTACTCACACACATAAAGCCCAACGACCTCTTTTGACTTGTAGTTTAAAGCATTGTTTTTGTAGCCATTAAGCAAAATGCCTCTGGAGTCAAATCCCTGCAGGAAAATTGGCAGTTGGTTTCTCAATAAGGGTGTAGATCTCCTCATGAACAACCTAGCCTGATATGAGTCTTGCAGACTGTGAGGTCTGGGATTCATTTTGTGCTGAAGGCTGTAGCTGGCTCCTTGCTTCATAAACCAAAGATACTCAATGTGAAACTGATCAACCAATGTAAAGCACATCCGTTAGTGATTATTGAGAATGTCTTTTACGGATTAGTTCTGATATCAGTTACAATGTGATCAGGGACACTAAAGCAACAAAAATTGTAGTTCTTTCTTTGTGATATTTAACATCAAATGAGCATTCTTTAAAGCAGCAGAAACTTGTGAATGTCGCAGTAAAAGCACAAAGACAAAAAATAAGTTTGAAAAATGGGTAGATGAATCAGAGATAACTAAAGGAGGGCAGTGCTTCTAAGAAACACATACTCATGCAGTAGCTTCTAAAATGCAGCAGAAATACATAACAATGAAGGTTACAAAGGGTATAAATATAAAGGAGGAATATTAAATATTTTTCTTCCACTTCTCAGAGCATTTAGGTCATTCCCATGTGCTGTTGGCTACATTTGAGAAGGTGAGTGAAATATCTTCTGTTCGTTTTTTGGGAGGAGGGAAACAAAATGTCTTGTGCTGTCATAGTGAAGAAGCAGCCATGTGGAAGAGAAATACCTGCTGTCCTTCAGGGCGCTGCAACACAGAAGCAACCTCATTAAATCTCTCTGTTGTATAGGAGAGGTAGATTTTGACAGGGGCATTGCTAAGGAAAATAAATTGAAGAGGACAGTGAATTGAACAGTTTTACTGTTTCTGTTTACAGTACTGTTTTACTGTTTCAATTGAACAGTTTTACTGTTTCTTGCTTAGTGATTTGTAAGAAGCTTGTCTTTCAGTGTGGTAGCGTACCCCAAAGCAAAAGAAACACTGTGGCCCCACGGAGGACCATAAGTAAGATGGTGTGCCAGTTTGAGCTCTGGATTTGTAGTAGACCGGTTGGGGGTTCTAATCCAGCTCTGTTGTCGTACCCTTAATGTACTTGTCTCAAATTATTCCAGTAAAATGTGCAGATGTATGAATTTGGTACAAATATAAGTTGCTTTTAATTGAAGCATCAGCCAAATTAATACCTAATGAGAGTGCGGGAAGTGGCAAATCCTGAAGTGTATTTTCCTGTCTTTACAGCATATGGATGGAAGCTACTGTGTGAAGCCATTAAAACAAAAGCAAGTGGTAAGCTTGAGTTTCTTTAGGTCTCATTCCTTACAGATTCCTCATTGTGAAGATTGCCCCTTGCTTTAGGGATGGCTGCTAGGAGCCCTTTACTCATTAACACATTCACCACGTTTAGTGTTGCTCCAGGGTATTTTTAAAGAGTTAAAAAACAAAACCAAAAATATATTAGAATTGAGAATGCTGTATGAGACTAGATGTCAAAAACCTTTCCACCCACAGTGCGACAAAGACAACGTGTACAAGACTTCCATAATTGACATCCTTGTGCAGCCTCAAGCTTTTCCTTCAATTACAGTCATGGTCATCCAACCATATACTGGACAATGGATGATCGATACTCACAAGACGTTCTGTGGTGTCCCATTATTCCAAGTCTCAGGAAAGGTGTGCTCCATCTGGAAACAGATTAAAATTGTGGCACACGTTACATTTCTCCAGCTGATCGAAACTGTCTGAGTACTCTTAAGAGAAGTAGCACTTGGTGATCTAGTGCCTTCCCTAGCAAAACTGGCACATTAAGTATGACTAAACATACTTAATGTTTAAGCTGTAAAAATTGCTCACAATAAGTCAAGTGTGGTGTTTGATGAGGGGTGTTAGAGAAACAAGCTGTTAAAGGTGCATTCCTAGTAGGTAACCAAATAGTTCACGGCCATTTATTTTGTTAATTGGAGCAACGAGATTACTTGTCTAAGCATGTTGTCTCTTACTAATATTGTAGTTAAGGTTACCATGGTGTCACTGGCTTTTTGACGCTATGTTGGACAAACCTAGGAGAGACTCCTGCAGTTAGATCCAGATATTAAATTGATGAATGCTGAATATGAGCAGATACATCTGGTTAGATGTTGATCCAAGAGCTTTGAACATAAAAGGAAAATTGCATTTACATGCAATCCGTTATAATTCCATTTAAGATATTAAAATCCATTTTGGTTTATATTGTTTGCATTCTCAGCTGCTCATACAATTTTTAAAAACATTCCAGTACCATTTAAGTCAGCTGTTGGTATTGTGAGATCAAAGAAAGGTATTATTTTGGAATGTTTGAAGGAGTGACTTAATTATACGTGTTACACCAATAAAGAACAATAATGCACCACAGGGAAATCGTTCTCTTGTAGGTAACTAGAGTGCAGTGATGTGTTGTAGTGGTAAGAAAAGGAAAATGCTCAATTAAATAAACGGTTAATGTTAACCATGCACTTAATTGAAAACTCAATAAACTGTCAATTAAATATTGTAAATAAAATACGCAAGTTCTCTATTTGCTTTTCTCAATGAGCTTTTTAATATTACAAGAGAACAGGCTTTAATGCCATTTTTTCCAATATAACGCAGTCATTAACTGCTGAAAGCAAACAGTTCTTTTGGATGATCGGTTTCTAATTTTCTTTATTATTATACTCTATTTCAAGTAGAGTGTGGGATCAAAATGTATATGCTATTTTGCTGTTTGAGTCCAAAATAATATTCACTCATTATATCACCATTATATTTTTGCATATTAAAGGATGAGGCTTTCACAAAATCCCTCAATAGTTAAGTGAATTTGTGTAATCACCGGTTTCACGTTTTTACCATAATGTGCAGGTATATGTGTGTGTACTTGTACACAGTTTCCCAAAGTGATCTTTACTTTCAAAGTGATTGCAACAAGTCACCTCAATTATTTTATATAGTATTATTTTATTTTTATTTGCTTTTTCACACAAATAGTGAATTTTGAACTTGGCACAGACTTTGGCTCTTGAAATCTTTTATTTAGAAATTCAAACAATTTGTAATATAAGAACAATTTGTTTCTTGAAGCCACTAAGACAGGACTGGCGGGCAGGATTTCATAGCTTTTGTGCACACACATGACACCTCATTGGGCGAGAGTCCTTCTCAGTTGGTGCCCTTTGAAACTATCCCAGATGCACCTTTAAAGGCTGATTAGGATACATCCATCCATTTTCTAACCGCTTCTTCCAATTCAGGGGTGTTGGGGAGCTGAAGCTTGCCCCGGTAAGCAAATGGTTATATCCTGGACGAGATGCCAGTCAATGACATGGCAGACAGACACAAACACAGGCGCACACACAAGGGTGATTTTGTTTTTGAAAAGCCAATTAACCTACCAGTATGTCTTTGGACTGTGGGAGGAAGTCCTCACGATCACAGTGAGAAAATACTCCATGCGGATAGCACCCCTGGTCCACAGTTGAACCCAGGGCCCAGTGCTGGTAGCACTGCAACACAATGCTGCCTGATTAGGATACAGTGCTGTTTTATTTGGCACATCTGATTAGTGAGGTAGGACACTGAATATTTTAGTTTAGGGTAGAAGAATCCTTACCTGGCTTTCAAAATCCAAATGAACTTGATGTTGTGTTGCTTTTGTGATGCATATAACCATGTACAGTATGTGGTTCAAAAAGTGTCTTTGGTCTTTGCCCTTATTCTTCATATCTAGCTTATTGCTCTGGACTCTGCTGGGTGCAACAGGGTGCAGTATTTGCTGTTTATGGCATGTGAGTTATACAGTGCCTGTTCTTTGAAAGCACCCTTGTTTGCAAGCCTGTTTGATGGAGTACTGACGGTCTCATCTCTTTTTTTCGAATTTTTCAGGTGGATGGGGTCAGCTACCTCCTGCAGGAGATCTATGGCATCGAGAACAAGTACAACACTCAGGAATCTAAGGTACTGGACTGAAGCCCTGGCAGGCACGGAGCTTCTCTGCAGCTGTAATGGCTGAGCGAACAGCAGGCAGAGTGATATAAGCAGCTAGAGTGTAATAGATTTGGTACAGTGTATTGGAGCTGAGGCTCAGCACAGCCATCTATAGTATAGGAGGCTATGACATGCTGTATCTATTACAGACCATAGAATGGTAAAGTACAATCCTGGCATAACAATCAAGAATTGAGTTAAAACAAAGAATATACAGTACATAAATGTAAGATATGATAACCTTAAATAAGAATAGCTCATTGGGTTTTTAGTAGCTAATTGACACAAGTCTATCATCCAACCTATTCTTAAAAGAAGCTAGCATATTGGCTTCAACAACAGAGGAGGGTAACTTGTTGGAGCCTTTCACAAGTCTTGCTGTAAAGACATGCCTGTTTCTGATTTCTGATTTGTGTTTCACTGATGGTGCTGAAGACATTCAATGTGTTAATTATAAGCATGCCTTTTATAGGAATACATTTTGAATACCTGAATACCTTTCATAGTCGTTGTTAAAGATTAAAAAGGCTCGGTTGTTTTAGCCTGTCAGCAGGGCACGGTTTTGAGCTCAGCATTGTACCTTGTTGCTTACCTCTGGACTGATTCCAGTGCAGAGTTAGGTTTCTGAAAATATTTTCAACAAGTAAAATAAGAATAAAACTGTGCTACTCCAGAAGAAAAGGAAAAAAAGAACAAAGCACTCAGATCTTAAATATCCTGGCATCTATCAAAGATACAGGAGATGATACAATATTGAACGTTAACCTGTCCTTTTGTTTGCCCAGGTGGTGGATGACGAGATCAGCGATAACAGTGCAGAGTGTGTGGTTTGCCTGTCTGATGTCCGGGATACCCTCATCCTCCCCTGTCGGCACCTCTGTCTCTGCAATGCCTGCGCAGACACCCTGCGGTACCAGGCCAACTGCTGCCCCATCTGCAGACTGCGTAAGACCCGGTGCTCCACACTGAGGCTCTGTAGGAGGGAGGGGGAATGGCCAAATTTAGATGGAGGACAGCAAAAGATAGTGTTTGCAGTTCTTGTTAGGTTTAACAAAATTCCAGAAATGATCTAGCTGGACATGGTTACATTTATTCCACAGAAGAATTAGAAGAAGAATTGTCACTAATTATAGCAGCCCATGTATAATGGGTCTTTTTGAAAGATTTGATACCATTTTTTAAAAAATTTGGTTTCTTCTAATTTGGCGCAGTGTAGGTTTTGGAAGTAATGTGTTGCAATGCTCACGCTAAATAGAAGGTCCTGGAAAAATTACTTTCAAGACTTTAACACAAGCTTTGTGGGACGAAGCAGAGCTGTTCTGGTTCTGAATTGACTTGGGAATTGTTAACATCATGTTAACACTAACTTCTCAGACTAATTTGACCAATTAGAATTAGTTACAAAATGTTAGTTATCCTATGCATCTCAGAGAACATGACCATCCTATTACCTGGAGCACATCTACCAGCGCACTGTGCATCTTGTGTATAATGACATTGCATAGTGACTTGTCACAGCATTAGGTACCCCTGCCGAATAAAGTTGTAAGCCCCTGTGAATGGCAAGAGGAACTCAAATGGAATGTGAAATATTCCACAAGGTTTTAAAGTATCTCCAATCCTGGTCTTCAGGAAATTTGAAATTGGTTGTTGATCTTTTACTGATTTTGGTGTTTCAGAATAATGTTTCATTGTTGTGGTGCCTTTGAGCAACTCCTTTCTCCTCATCAGAGCCTGAACTAGCAGCACACTTTTCAATTCTTGATTATGCCTGATTTAAGAAACAGTCTGAAGTATACTTGAATATGTTCTATTAAAAAAAGCTTTAATACTAGGATTAAAATAATATCTAAAAGTTCTGCATGAAAAAGTGAGAAAACAAATTTAATTAACATTTTATAGCTTTTTTGTTGCCTTTTTGCACAGGGAGTGTTCGTATTCGAGGTTACAGCTAATACTCAAGCTTTAATCACTCTGTCCTTAATCCACATTTTCCATTTTCCAGCCCAGCGGTTTTACTGTAAATTCTTTCTTGTCTGCATTTCACAAAAGGGTTCCCTTTAATTCCCTTTAATCCTGAGTAACCCTAAGAACAATTCAGTTGTATGGGGGAATTGCAAAACCCTTTTGCACCCAAGGACAAAAATGCTTCTGCTTGTCTGACAGGAAAAAGGGAAACGGAAGTTTTTTTAAACGGAAGGAGTTTATAGGTGAAAATATCTCAAGAGAGGTCATTTCAATGAAAAGAGAGCTCACCTGATTTTGTTTAGGTGTTCAACACCTTCATACTTACTATAAAAAGAGGGGGACATTTTTGCATTAAACAGGAAGCAATGAAATTCTTCGTTTTCTGCAGATTTATTATAGACTTTATGAATCTGAACTTCTTGCTTTGCTTCTGATTTCTGAAGAGATGCATTTGGCAGTTTGCTTCCAGCGGAAACAGCAGGAGACATAGCTAACAATGCGCTGGTGTGTCATTAGCATTCCAAATGCAGTCGTATAGCTAGCTGCAGACAGCGCTGCTCTAATAACAGTTATTCTGTGTCTCTGCCTGTCTTGTCAGCCTTCAGGGCACTGCTGCAGATTCGTGCCATGAGGAAGAAGATGAGTCCAATGTCCCCCACTGGATTTAACCCTGTCATTACCTCCCAGACCTCAGACTCTGAGGAGCACTCGGTAAGGCTAGTGACAGGCTCTAACGACTGAAGTGCTGCTTCTACTGTGGAGTATCTGTCCATCCATTTTCTGTCTGATTTATCCAGTACAGGATAGGCTCCGGGATCTATCCCAGCAAACAACTGGCACTTGAGGGATATACCCTGGGTGGGATGCAAGTCCATCACAGGGCACATTCCGACAGACACACACACTCTCACCAATGCCAGTTTTTCTATAAGCCAGTTAACTTACCTCTACGTCTTTGGACTCTGGGACGAAACCTCAGCAACCAGAGAAAACCAATCGAACACAGAGTGAACACACAAACTCCAAGCAGACAGCACCTCAGGAATTAAACCCAGGGCCCCAACCCTGTGAGGCAGCAATGTTAACAACTGCACCACCATGCCACACCTCCTGGATATATATTCATACATCTTTTTTTATACATAGCAGTTCATAAAACATGTTTATTAATAATAATTCAGGATTTGGCTTCAGTTGTACCCTCAATAGAAGATCAAAGGAGGATTCCCTGAAAGGTTAATAAGTTTACAATATCAACCTTGTTGCAGGGCCTCCTGATAAGCTTTTACAACAGAAAAAAATAATTTGCCAAGCATAGCTGTCCTCCAGAGTGCTAGAAAATTTATAATAGGAGGATAGGGGATAATTATGATTTATCATAATGTATTTCATACAGATTCAATTTCAATGTCTGGTTTAAAAGCACCTTACTGGCTTGAGTCATTCGAGGCCAGCCCTTCAGGCAACCATTTTTGTATTTCTGCCATAAAAAAACATGCATTTTTATCTATTTAATGTGAAACCTATATGTATTATTCTAATGATTTTCTTCTTGTGATTGTTTCCATAATTGGAAGAATAAGCCAGGAAATACATCAAACTTGTCCCAATTTCACACAGTGCTGCCATGTTCTTGGCATTAATATGGGCCTTCTGTGTGACTGTAGGCGTCAGGCCATGTTTTCGTGCCTGGTGTTATGTGGCTATTGTGAAATCTCAGGCTCAAGCATGCTTCTTTATACATGACAAGGAATTTTCTTTTTTTTTTTTTTTAGGGGTCAGATTAATGTTCAGTTTGTTATATGCACAAGTGCAATGAAATGCTTATTTGCATGCATGCTCCAATACAAAGTACAAAGACATTAAAGGAATCACCAAAAACAAACACAGAACAACAGCGGCAACAACAAGTTAAAATTAAAGTCAGACGAGCAGTTTGTAGAAAAAAACATCAGTGTGAGCTAGGGGTGGAGTTCAGTAATCTGACAGCTTGTGGGAAGAAACTGTCTCTGATTCTGGACGTTCATGCCTTTATGCTCCTGTAACGCTTAACAGAGGGAGAGAAAATGAGAAACCAGGATGACTGGTATCCTTAGCGATACTTCCAGCCCTCCTGAGTCAGCAGGTTGTAAAAATGTCCACAATAGAGGGGAGCTGTACTCCAATGATGGACTGGGCTGACCGATCACCCCCTGTAACGCCTTCCAGTCAGACACCAAGCTGCTGCCAAACCACACTGTAATACCACACATGAGCACACTCTCAATAGCACACCCGTAAAATAGACCAATTTTTTTTTAAGTTAAGTTTGCCACCTCTCCAATAAGAAGAAAGGTGGGGCAAGATACTTTGTAAAGTCTTTATTTTGCAGATAAGAAGAAGTCGTACATGCTGTCAGGTGATTTAAGTGTTTTGTTTCTTTGCTGTGTTGGCACTGTCTGTTTCAGGCCTCCGAGCACATTCCCCCTGGATATGAGGCAGTGTCGCTGCTGGAGGCCCTCAATGGGCCCCTGAGCCCCTCTCCCTCTGCCCCCCCGCTGCACAGCCTGACTGGTGGCCACGTGTCGGGGGCCCTGCCCTCATATGCCAGCGAGGGCCACGGCCTTCCCGCGCGCGCGCTGTCTCCACTGGAGCGCTCTGTTGACTCCAGCCAGGGGCTCAAGCTGAAGAAGAGTGGCTCCAAGTGGGTATTGTGATGTCACTTCCTGAATGAAACAAGACTGCTATAACTGCTACTGCACATCTTTTACTCATACAGACATTTATTTATCCCTTAGTTCACTTAAAAACAATCAGTGTATTGTCCAATATTGGTTTTCTTCCTTCAGATATGGTTTTAATAAAGCCAACAAAGAAAGATGGTAGCAATTTCTTATGGTTTTCTGTCTTGAAGACAATGCCAGATGACCATCTGGCTCTGATATAAACGGTCCAGTTCCACAAAGTTTGTATTAACAAATTTCAATCAAGACCTTTCTTGAAATTTGCCGTACTAAATCACAGTCTCCAGCATGTTGTGCTTTCTCAAGCACAATATAATATTATAGAATGAAAACAATATCAATGGCAGCAAACTCAACACTAAAAAAATGACTATAACGTGCTGATTGCCTCTTTCATCATAAATATTATTTTTCTTTAAAAAAAATAGTAATTTTTAAAAAAACATTTTTTCACATCTTTATTGTCCCTCTTGGCAGTTGTTTTTTCTTGAATGCAGCATGACTGACAGCTGGTCTTAAATTCAACAGGACTCTTTCCCAAAATTCCTCAATCCTGGCTGAAGAAGATGACGAGAAGTCCGGGAGTGAATTGGAGATCAGGACATGCAGGAGAAAGATCGTAGATGACCAGCATGAGGTAATGTCCAAGACTAATCAGCGCTGTCTTCAGCGCAAAGCTTCTAATGATTGTTTAAACCTTATTAATTGCTGTTTGGAAATCTATATACTGTATTTCATGTCATACACTTTATTATTATGAACTGTACTTGCTGCTTGTTTGAAGGCCTTCCCTTTCTAAATCCGTGTTGGAATTGCGTAAAATGCAGTTTTGTGAGTATTCTTTTGTGTTTAGCTCTCACTGTTGTTTCAATGTCTTTAACACAATCGGAACTAAAACTGAATGGATTGGTCTATAGTTCTTTTATTTCTCGTTCTGCTTACATTTGCAATTCTCCAGTCGGTACTGTACATACTGCTGCCGTTCGTAGCGGGTTAAAATGTCTATGGCGAACATCCCTGGTTTACTTATGTATAACTTGAAAACACCAAGTAAATCACACTGTGATTTTGTATTTAGTTGCCCTTGTAGAACCTGAGATGGTTATATCTAAGTTGTCCAATGCCGTTGGAGTTCCTTCAATCACATGGCGCATTTTTTATTCAGGCAGCATTATGGAATAGTGGATAAGACTATAGAGTCCTGACAAGAAGTGGTTTGTGGATTCGAATCATGGGTGGCATTGTGGTTTTGTATAATTACTTTACTTTACTTTACTCCAGTAAATGCTCTGTTCTAACTTGTCTAAATTAAATAATTTTAACTGTATTCATAGTCAGCTTTTGTGTTCCCCGTCACATTATCGAGTTTATCACAATTTATTCCAGTCCCAAACTATTAGGAGTCCTTAACCATGTGAGCAGACTGTCTCAGTGGCAGGCATTGTGTGGTTAGCTAGAGAAACATGAGACAAAAGTCTATGACCTCCCCCAGCCAGAACAATCCCTAGATCTCAATCTCATCGAAAACAGGTGGAATGTTCAGATGAATGATATTCACCATCACAACACCTACTAAAGACCATCCCACTATCATCTTGTCAAGTACAAGCCTCATCAAGGCCAAGGTGTGCCTGCTGCTCATGAATGATTTGGTGGGGTTTCCATTCAGTGGGAAGTCTTGTGGTTATACACAGCTTTTATGTTGTTATGCACAGCTTTTGATCCAGCTTTTGAGAGCAGAACTCTGGAGAAGCTCTGCCAAATATTTCTTAATCTCACCTTTAAATGTAATTATAATGGAAGGGTATGTGGGGAAAAAAAATCTTGCTCATTTTGCTGGCATGTGTTTTCATTCTTCAGCAGCTACATGAACAGTCAATTGATTGTTGTCCATGAAAAGGTTTTGTCCTAAGAATAATGTTGGAAAGTTTATAATTCCCCCACAGCTTGTTTTATCACAGCTTCTTGTCAGAATATAAGCACTGTCCATGACAACCCAGAAATGCTTCAGCAAGGTCATAGATAGCAACAGTCAAAAAACAGTGTTAGATTTCAAGAACCACCCCAACACATGCTTTTTTCCCTCTGCTTTTATAATAAGGCTCTGTGACTTTATTGTATTTGTTTTGGCTATTGTTGTGGGACAGGCAGGGGCAACTCCTGAGAGTGAGAATCTAACCCTGTCGTCCTCTGGGGCCATTGACCAGTCGTCCTGCACAGGGACCCCACTGTCTTCCACAATCACCTCTCCTGAAGGTAGGGCTCTGCAGGGACACCCCACTGTCTTCCACAATCACCTCT